TCTTTTTCTTTTACAATGAGTAATATAAGAAAGATAAATATATAAATAATAATTGAATTTTATAAATTTCTTCTTTTTTTTTGTTCTTTTTTAAATCTTTTACTTGAACGAAACGATAAGAATAGAAAAGAAAGAAAGAAAAATAATGAGAAGTATAATTTAGAAACAAAAGGGAGTGGGTATGGGTGGTGTGGGTGTGGGTCAGAGATGTCATAATATCCGAAGGCTGGGTATCGAGAAGATACAAGTCCCGATATCGATCAAAGTGGATACCCAAAAAAAATTGATACCCTATCCCTAAAAGGTGAGGATTTTGAGTAAATTTGGTATAACGAGATGGATACCCAAAATGGATACCCTATCCTTAAAAAGTGAGGATTTTGAGTGAATTGAAGCAATTTATGAGACTAGTGATGTAGCCTAATTTTGCATCATTCTGCAATACTTTTGGTTGTATTGAATAGTAAATAAAAATATTGCAATGTACAGAGAATCTTAGCCCATGGCAACACAGAAGTTTATTTTATTTATCGTTGATAAGAAAGTGTATTGGGTTACCCATTTTGCATCTCGCTGTCTCTAAACTTTAGTCAATCTTTTGGAAGTCTTTCTAATTCTCTTTCTTTTCTGCTTTGTATCGGTTTAGCTGTCGTCTCGCGGGTTCCATTTTCAAAAGATCGGATTTTAACGACTGACGATGCTTTTACTGATTTGTGCAGCCTATGGCTTATTATATTTGTGTATTTTTTCTCTTTGAACTATTCTCGTCCGGAGCTTTCAAAGCTATGCAACTTATTAGAGTTCCGATCTTCTGTCATGATCTCAGAACGAAATTCGAGTGTGGGTGCCGTGAAAGGACTCACACAGGCGGCAATACACACAGTGCACAGCACCTGGTGTGGGTGCCCCGAAAGGACGAACACACGGGACAGTACATACCGTGCACAGCAGCTGGTGTGGATACCACGAAAGTAGGGACACAGAGAACAGCATACACAGTGCACGGCACCCACACTAGGTGCTGCGAAAGGACGAACACACGTGACAATAAACACAGTGCACAGCACCTGGTGTGGGTGCCCCGAAAGTAGGGACACAGGGAACAACACACACAGTGCACAGCACCTGGTGTGGATGCCGCGAAAGGACGAACGCACGTGTCAATATACACAGTGCACAGCACCTGGTGTGGGTGCCGCGAAAGGAATCACACAGGGGACAATACACACAGTGCACAGCACCTGATGTGAGTGCAGCGAAAGGGCACGCACACGATAAAATATACACAGGGCAGGGCACCTGGTGTGGGTGTCGCCAAATGGTGGACATACCATTAGACATACGCACGGTATCGCAGTGTGGGTTCATTTTTCCAGACGATGGACACACGGAACAACACCGGCACACATCGCATAGCAACTGTGTCGAGTGCGGCGAGACGGCCTACATATGACACCTGAAAGTTGAATTCAAATATTCCATTATTGAATAACTGAACAGGTAACTTCAACGATTCAACTGTTCAATAATTGAACACTGGAATAGTTGAATATCTGTACTGCAGCTAATGAATTATTGGATAGTTGCATATTTGAAATGTTTTGAACAATACAATTCAACCTTCAGGATTGGGTCTACTGGAATGTGGGTGAGATCACGCGTACCCATTGCTACTTGGCGTCACATGTGAGTGTGTCTGTGCCTCTGCGTGGCAGTGTCACTCTGGCTCCGCAATAGCGGTTTGGATGCGGACGACGGTTCGCATATTCGTGACTGCGTGGCTGTGGTTAAGCGTACGGAGGTCTGATATTCACCTGCTTGTGAGTGAGGATACAGTTGTTGGGAATAGTGTACATTTGCGAACATACGTTGCTATAGTTATCGGTCAGGGTGTCCGTTCGAATTTGGCTACCCAATGCGAGTGTCCGTCTCAGTCAAGGCGCACTATTCCACGAAGGGAGTTGAATACTCCAAAGCATGGATGGGTGTGGCTGAACGTATTTCTGCGAATACATCTGTGCGCAAGGCTCAAGGCGCGACGCTGACTTCGTGTGCAGCTGTGGCCCTGCCTCTACACTGTGCATTTAGGGAACTTTTCAGGTATTCTCGAGGCGTTACTATATCATCAATCTCCAGATCATCCTCAACCTTTTACATATATGCATAATCATTTTGGGTATCCATCTCGTTACACCAAATTCACTCAAAATCCTCAGTTTTCAAGGATATATCGATGTGTTAGAATTTCGATACCCGACTTCCGGATATTATGACATCCCTCTTGTGGGTGTGGGTGTGGGTGTGGATGTGGGTGGTGTGGGTGTAGGTGTGGGTGTGGATGTGGGTGTGAGTGGTGTGGGTGTGGGTGTGGATGTGGGTGGGTGGAGATATACACCCACATCCACACCGCGCACCCACACCCACCGCCATCCAACCTTTTTGTCTGTAGCCAAATACAATTCATTTTCAACTAAATATCAGCGATCAATCATTAACTATCGTGGTGCGGTAGTGTTATCCGACTAAGACACAGCCTTCCACTACTACAGCAAGAATTATCATCATCATCGTTAATCATTCTTATAAATTAGTTCTTGAATGTGAAGCATACGGTAAGCCTGAATTTGGTCGAAAGGGTGTGGGTGTGGGTGTGGGTGTGGATGTGAGTGTATATCTCCAGCCACACCCACACACTAGTGTTTAGATAAAGATTTATTTGTAGCACAAGTTCTATGCAGCAGCATAAAAATAATGTGAGTAAGATTCCTATTTAAGGTCTGGTGGAAATACAATTAAGAACAGAGAAAAAGAAGAAGATGAGTCGAAAAGAAACAATGTAATGTCCTTTTTTTCAGATACTGAGAGTAGCGTAGATTTATGTAATGCAGTTCAATGGGATCATTTAAGACATCTGACATAGATTGTATTAGAGAAATAAAACTTTAACCAACGCCAAAGGAAATTCTAGCAAGCTCATGTTCTTTTCACTTGAATTATTCAATACTTAGGCATACAATTTACTGTGCTGACTCCAGTAACGTTGTATTTTGTGGTAGCGACACCAAAGAGTATTTCTCAATAAAGAGTAAGCTGAAGTTTAAGAGAAATTCAGACAAAATGTAGCTTCAGCCGTTAGTGATCCATATCGTATTTCATGAGATCATCTGTGAGAAGTTCATTATGAAAGTTTTACTGAACCAGTAATTGTTCTAATAGAAAATAATTTCGAATGACAGGAATGATCTCATTTAACATACAGCAATACGTAACTATCGGTTTTTACTTTCGCTGTTGGAAATAAACCGCCATTCTTTTTCTTTGTTTTCTTCATTATATTTCTATGATGTGGTGACCGGAACTCGCTGATTGATAAAGCTGTACTCGGCACTGACTTCTACAAGTCGCGCTCAATTCTAAGTATCTTGCATGGAAAGAGATTCAGAATGTAGTGATTGAAAGTTGAGCATGTATTCTTTATTAGCAACGTCCTATATTATCATTATTGTTTCATTATTCTGTATATCATAAAGAATTGTTTGTATGATAGCCTTAGAACCCCAAATAAGCATTAACAACGTTGATTGATTTATCTGACGAGGGAAGTACCCAAACTGTTTAAAAGCTTTTGACTCCATCTTTTGGCTATAAGCAGGTTTCAGTGAGACTAAGAAAATCCTAAAAGGATTCGTGCCCATGGCCTATTGATCAAGAGTTATGACTGATTTACTGAATTTTCGGCCTTTCTGTAGGTATTCACCACAAAATGAAATTACAAGATTTCGGTCTGAAATTTTGCCCAAGGGTAGATCTAATGACGATTAGAATACTCTGAAAGTTTCTGCCAAAACGAATGTTCTCTTCTCGAAATATTAAGTATTCCCGTGAACTCGACTTTTGTAACAAGCATGCAACAAGCGACTAGCTTTTTCAAATCCAATATCTTGAGAAGAGAAAAGTCGTTTTAACGGAAACTTTCAGAATATTCTAATCGTCATTAAACCTACCCTTGGGAAAACTTTCAGACCGAAATCTTGTAATTTCATTTTGTGGTGAATACCTACAGAAAGGCCGAACATTCAGTAAATCGGTCATAACTCTTAACCAATACGCCATGGGCACGAATCCTTTTAGGATTTTCTTAGTGTCACTGGAATCTGCTTATAGTAAAAAGATGGAGTCAAAAGCTTTTAAACAGTTGGAATACTTCTCTCGTCAGTAGCTTGTATTTTCTCTCAGCTTGTTGGACGAGAGAGAGTCGGTAACAAGAAATATTTGAGATAGCTCCTTGGTGGGGCGTAGAACGATAAATAAGAAAAACTAATATCATTTTTCTCTGAGATAAATCGACCGGACCGAGGATATGGGTGTGTAAGTGTCAGTTTTCTCTGAATGAACAGCTGGAGCTACCTTCACTTCTGCCCCCACATCAACACACATACCCTTGTCCACGTCGGGTCTCTAACCAGTTGAATTAAATGCAGAACTTTATTCTGTACTGGCTGGTATCATTCTCGATGGTGGTCATCAAGCAAAACACTTGGTTTAGGCACGTCTCTTCGGGTGTGAGTGTCAACAGGGTTTCCCGAGTGACGACCATGGATGATATTCACAGTTTCTACTACCTTCGCCGAACACGAAGCCTTAGCTACCAACGGCACAGTCAACCCCTCAGATCCACACCCCACAGCTTAACTCTCACACTCTCAAATTTTATTTATCAAATCTAATTGATAATAGAGCTTCTGCATATTGAATTTCACAAACAGGCAGAGACAATATAATATAGACATATTATTTTTCTCATCATTAGACAGCTCAATAAACGCGGCATACTTTTAAATCGATAAATCAATGCATCATCTATCTACACTGAGATTTCATGTACAGTACTAAAATACAATGATTTTTCTTCTTGTACTGACTTCAGTTCTGCTAAGTAATGCTATTTATACCTTTGTCATTGTAGTTTTCCAAAATATAAAAGTTCAAAAATAATCATAATGGCAAATATGAATACATCGGACGACTTATTACAATGTCCAATTACAAAGGAACTATTTCGTGATCCAGTCTTAGCATCGGATGGTCATACCTATGAGAGACTAGCGATCGAACAATGGATTCGAAGTAATGGTACAAGTCCATTGACACGACAACCGTTATTCATTGAACAACTCTATCCGAATCGCAAGGTGAAGGAGCTAGTGGATGCTTTTGAGGAAATATTGCGCCAAAAAAATTACCAGTTTGTATTAGATGTCGATGTGAAAAAAGGACGAACACTATTTGAAACAGATGGAAAAAAGATTTTTGCCGCTGAGTGGTTACCAGATAAGAATAATCGACCAGCAATAATCCTATTAAAAATAAGTGGCGCTCGGGCAAGAAAAGAAGCATCTTTCTACGTAAATTTAAGTCGCCATCCACATATCATTCGAACATTTGGCTTTGTATGCAATAGAAACAATCCCGACCAAAATAATTCAGTTCTGCTTTTACAAGAATATGCGACTGTAGGAAGTTTATGTGATTTATTAGAGGATCGAAGGACGGCTCCTGATGAAAAAGTTCTTATCCAAATATTTTTACAGATTATTGAGGCGATGATATGCCTTGCATCTAATCACGTTGTTCATGGTGATTTAGCGTGTCGTAATGTCTTAGTATTTCGTTTTGATGAAAACCAACCAGAAAACAATGTTGTAAAAATCACTGACTTCGGTCTTAGTCGACATAGTCAAATATATTCAATGATACCATGTACTGCAAGAACAATATTGAACATGGTTCCCATTCGATATGCAGCACCAGAAATACTTTTATCAAATGCCACACCGGAGGTTTATACGGAAAAATCAGATGTTTATTCAATGGGTGTGTTAATGTGGGAAGCATATTCTCGAGGTTCATTGCCATGGGCGAACATCGAAAACGACAACGATGTCATTCGACGGGTCATAAATGGTAATTTACTATCTCGACCATTCAATTGTAGTGAACCCTTCTGGTCGATCATTACAAAAACTTGGTCTACATCACCAAGCAATCGTCCAACGTTCAGAGAACTGAAACGTCTTCTGACCGAAAAATACTATCGTTCAGGTACTTTTTTATATTTATCATAAACTTGATTCCTAATTGGTTTGTCCCATAACAATTGTTCCATCATTTATTTCCAGTGTCTAATGTATCTTTTGATAGTAGAATCTGAGCAACTTGAGTAATGACCGGCATCGTTCAACATGAGCACCTTTTTCAACAACTGCAACAAAACGATATTGAGATGGAATTCTACAGAATCCGAGTACAGAAAATTTTGGGAAATATAGAATAAGACCAGAGTTTGATGAAAGTAAAATCGTTAGCACAGTCATATTCAGTTGTCAAGTAAAGTTGCGCTAGTTCATCATAAGAAATTACTTTTCGCAACTGCTCAGTATTTATGTCACGTTATTGCTCCATTTTTCTCTCTCGTATTTATGTAGTCTTTCTCTCTTTTGCCTCATATTTTTGGGAAGTATGCAGGTCTTTAACACATGAATGAACTGAAAGATATGGCTGTGAGCCAGGAACACTATATTTACTTTTTCATTGACGTAGGATGAATTAGGAACCAACCAACGAATAACTAATGGTGTCTAAGGGAAATTTAAAAAAAATAACTGAAAGGAAACGTGTTTGAACTAACTTACTTTAGTTGTTATTTAAACGATAGGTTGGACCTTACAAAACAAGAGTGGACAATATGACACGAGCGACAAATATGATCCTACTCAAGGCCAAAGAAAAGCAGCTCAACGGCAGCAAGAAGAACAAGACAGAAAAATAGCCCATGAATATGCATTACTTGAAAACGTGAGTTTCTTCACAAAAAAAATGCAGCTTTTTGAACATGTTTTGTGACTTTAGCGCAAATCAGAGAAACTATCCGAATCAGTTGCACGAACACGTAAGCCATTCTATATTTCTGACGAAGATGTATGTATCTATATTGTTACCCTTTTCGGTTTGTAGTTTGCACGTATTCTACTAGTTGAATTTGAAGATGAAACGTTTACTCTATTCGCCATTTATATTTAACTGTAGAAAACATTAGAATCCGCCTATAATCTAAAGTATTTCAAGCAGTTCCTTCCCTTTGAAAGATCTGAATCCATTTGCAACTCGTGAATAGTTTGACATATAACTATTTGAGATATTCATATATTCCCAAACAAAATTTTTCCAGTTTCATCCAATGTCTGAATCAGCTTGGACAGAAAATATTTTGCCTTGGAAAGAGTATACTCAATTACCAATAACATAAGTACATTTTGAACGTTTCTTATGATTAAGGCCCCCCCCCCCCCCCTCAAAAATCGATCTCAGCCTAGGCATGTTCAAATGGGCTGAAATTTGAAGCATATGTTGGGGCTCATGTGGGGAGGCTGTGATAAAATTTTCAGCTCGATATCCTGATGTTTGACTGAGATATTCACTAAACAAGGGTCAAAACTAGGTCATTTTGGTACAAGGATTTCTCAGCCCGGACCCGTCTAACATATTTAAATTTTTTTTTTGTTAGAAAGAGCATGTCAGGATGCAGAGCACTACAGAGTCCTTTTTTAAGATTCTTACTTTTTTAGCGGAGAAAGGAGATCACAAGTCCAATGACTCAAAAAACGCCCCAAAAGTGGGTGTCCAGTCACATAAGTGTCTTTAAATATAATAAAAAACAAAGCTTAATTAAAAAAAAGACTCTGTAGTGACCTGCATCTCGACGCGCTCTTTCAAACAAAAAAAAATTTAAATATGTTGGACGGACCCGGACTGAGAAATCCTTGTACCAAAATCAAAAAATCATAAACCGAGGAAAAACCAAAATCATTTTTCGTTTTTTTTAAAATAAACATATTTTTCAAGAAGAGGTCAATGAAAATCATCGAAAATCTTGGCCAAAAAAGAGATGCCAAAGAAAAACCAATGACATTTTTGAAAGATCTAAAGACGGGCTATCTTTCCATGCATTTATCTCAATTTCGAAATTTTTGACGGAAATTGACTTTTTTTGAGGGGGGGGGGGTGACCTTAATAAGCTCGAGAGGAGTGTTTTCAGATTTAAAGCAGGTGTCGCTGGCGATGAGTGCTCAAGTTGATGGGCGCATACTACTCAGGTACTTTGTTCGAGCATCGGCGCCATCAGACAATGTTGTGGGAGTGCGTGGGAAGTTGGTTACAGGGGGAGAGAGCAGAAGAGTGATGATACTCTGTTTACATCTGGCCACTCTTACTGTTCTACATCCGGCAATCCTGCCGACGTTTCATTCTCGACCAAAATTTACATTACCTATCATCCCTAGTTACGGTTGATAAAGATTCTTTATTCGAGATCTGCTTCCATTCTCTTCTATCTAGATGATCGAAAGGTGTTCTCAAATATTCAAGAGAGTGCTCTATGACCATAAATATATTTACGATGCAATAAGAAAAAAAATTACATTTAGAGTCCCGCCAAACAATGTCACAACATTCTCAACAGCAAAGGACTCGCGCTCCTAATAATGATAGCCCTGCTTTTATTCTTTATACCTATGAACAAACAAAGTATGAAAAAAAACACTATTAAGTACTTTCAATAGTTTTTTTCAAACAGGAAATAGTACTTATAAGTGAACCTTTTTATGAACTTTTCGTACTTTTTGACTAAAAAGTACTATTAAGTACTACTAAAATTCTGAGAAAGTACTAAAGTTCACTAGGAAAAATGAAAAATAGTAACAAATTTTATTTATTTTACCCATGTAAAAAAGTGTAAAAAGAACACTATAAAGTACTTTTAATATTAATACAACAAAATAAATACAGTAAAACTTCTCTAATGTGAACACCGTCGGGACCAACCAAAATCGTTCAGATTAACAGGGCGATCACTTAAGAGGG